TCTTATACAGAAGGCTGCAGTCAGCTCCAGTGTCAACCAGTATCAGCACATGCTGAACATTAGGAGGGACAATAGGTTGTTAATTCCACATGTGGCCTCCCATTCACCTGGGTCCCCCACAACTCAGTTCCTCAGCCTTTCCAGTAGTCTAATAGGGAAAACTCTTCTCTTGGAGCCCCCATGAAATCTTGGAGGCATATTGGGTGAATTGAGTTCTTTTCTCTCATGGGCATTTTCCAATAGTGCTGTCCAGTGGGCAGCTGTCACCTAACATTAACAGCACGTCATTGGCTGGTGATTGATTTTGTCCTTTCTTATTCCTGCCATTGGCAGATCGATCCAAATTTACATCTGGGACATTTTAATGACCCATTTTCTTGTTTGTCCCTCTCCCCGAGGCAGAATTTTCATTTGTTTGCCTTTACTTTTTTCCTAGCAGTTGTACCACGCTGTGATCCTGCTGCTTTATCTCTACATCATCTACATCTTTCCATAACATCGGTCACCTCACAAACATGGTCGTCAATATAGGTCGTTATTATGGCTGCAGAGACCCAAAGGCAGGAGGAGGTAAAGAGGCCAATTTTTCATTTGAGTGGTTAAGTGCTCAACACCAGTGCCCCTAGTATTCACATTAAACATTCCCTGCCACATGGGCATTTATCTAATAACGTGAGCCAAGTCCACATGCATGGTCCATTTACTCACACAGTAGCCCTTAAGCACTCCATCAGGGAATGATCCCCTTGAAAGTCTCCAAGGCAATGGCTGATTTGCAGACATTGTCATAGTAATGGGTGAAATGTAATGGAAGTTAATTTCTTCATTTCTAATGGGGACAACTGGAGGCTATCAACTCCATCACTCCACAAGCACAAAAGCCATACTTTCCTTGGTTCTCCTGGCCTCTGTCTGCTTGCTTCCCCAACTCCCTCTGCTTGGTTGGGGTGTAAGCAGTATTAGCAAATTCACTTCCTGAGGGAGGTTTTGTGGCCCATGTCCTGAGGCTATATGCTGGTTGAGCTCCAGCTGACACTTTCTCCCATGGTGGGCATGCAGAGGTGGCAGGGGCCCAGCTCTCACTGGGTTCTTCCTCACTGGGCTGCTCACTTCCCATTCATACTCTGCCCTCTACAGACACAGCCAGTCCTGCTCCAAAGCCTGTGCCCAGATATTCAGCTGCATCTCCCCAGCACATAGCTCCTTTACCTGGGCATCACTGATATGGGTGTCTTTACACTGACACCTTAACACAGTGAGGAAGCCTTCATGCTGCCACCCTAACATGGTGAGCGACATCCATCCTGTCCACACAGCACTGGTCTGATCTCCTTCCAGCATTATGACTTCCAGGACATGCAAAGCCCATTTTACCTGTTTCCACTCCTGAAGAGGAGTCCAAGACATTAGGACCTCTGCCACAAGGTATTATGGTCCTATAAGAGGCCACATGTTCCCTGGCAGGAAACCCAAATACTGTGGACTGTGAGAGATGTCAAACCCATGCACAGTCATCAGGGATGCTGAGGCACTCTGGGCCAGATTCTGAAAGAACACTCCCAGAGCTGTAAGCAGATGCAGAGTCTTTATTCAGCCAGGAGCAGCACCAGCAGCACAGGTGACCTAGCAGAACAGCAGCATCCCACAAGGCTCTTTCTACGCAGGGTTACACAATAATGGCCATTAGCCAAGGAGGTACTTGGATTGAGATCCTGGCTCCAGACTACAGTCCTGGCTGAGGCCTGAACATCGCAGGCATTTAAATCGTAAACCATCAGATAAAATCACATGTGCATGCTCTCTCTCTCCTACACACTCTCTCAACTAAATAAAATTTTCAAAAGTTAAATGATAGTGGAAGAGGAAGCATCAAATCAATAGTGACGCTTATACAGCTTAGTGTGGTAGCAGTTTATACTAAGGGAACTGCAATGGATTCCTTTGAAATTTCATAATTATTGGACACTGTTATAGCCAAAATGCAGATATAATAGTACATATATTTTAGACTTTTTCTTGGGTATTCATTAAAATCTTGCAATCCACTGGTGAACTTCAGCTTAATATATATCTGTTGCATTGGAAAGATCCACAGGTGTTTTTTTCATTTTTGTTATATTTACAATAAATTTAATGTATATACATAGCAAGATGTAAATCATGTATTTCCAGCCTCCTCTTGAGAATTACAACTGATTTGGACTGCTTAAATTCCTGATTTCCTAATTCTGTCCAGAATTTTGAATCTAAAATATTCATGACTTCCATATGAAATATATTTTGTACCAGTCTATAACCATCAGTGTGATGATATATTTATGATGTATTTACCAATTGATTTTCTTATACTTGTTGAAACAAATAATTATAAAAGTATTTTCATTATTTTTGAAGTATGTCTTAAATGTTCCTTTTTTGATTTATTGAACATCTATTAGTATTTTATTAGTAGAAACTATTTTTTGTTTTCATTCTTTTTCCAATGATATAAATTGTTTTTGTATTTTTAATTAAGATATATAGAAAATTTTTACTCCCAACAATCTTTCCCAAGGCATTTCAGAGTACATTGACACTCCATGGGTTCTCACCAAGTGTATCAGTGTGTATTTCCCAAAGCAGGGACAGTCTCTGGTATATACAAATGGTAATGACTGAAGTCAGGCAATTGGAACATGTTACTACTACTGGAGCCTCAGGACACTTCTAGGCTTTGCAGTTGTCTCAAAAATGCCTTTTATGGGTGCGAGCATTGTGGCATAGGCAGCTAAGCCACTACTTGCAACACTGGCATCCCATGTGGAGCACAGGTTCCAGTCCTGACTACTTTAATTCCAATCCAGCTTCCTCTTAATGAGCCAGTTAGGGCCACCCAAGTGAGAGACCCAAATGGAGGTCCTGGCCCCTTTCTCTGTGATTACTGAATGCTTTGGGACTTTGAAGAGAAGCAGACATGACTGTTTCCCATTGTACAAAGGGGGCTGATCTCTGGCACATGCTTCCCAGCATTGCCCAAACAACAACATGAAATGGCCACACAGCCACCTGGTGTACCAGGTGTTTTTTAAAAATCCCCTTTTGCATACACTAGAGAGGCAGAGAGAGAGACAGAGGAACAACAGACAGACCTCTCATCCACCGATTCCTCCCACAAATGTTCAAAGTAGTCCCTGGTTGGGGCCAAAGCCAGGAGGTGGGGTCCCCAGCCAACTCCATCCTGTGTGTGACAGGAATCCAATAATTACTTGAGACATCTGCTGCCTCCCAGGGTCTGCATTACAGGGTTCTTAGGAGCACGGTTGCAAAGTGAACCCAGGTGAACTCTAAGGTGGGACACGGGCATCTTAACCTCTGCACTAAAGATTCGGCTCCATGTTATGAGCTCCTAATTTGTTCCACCTGGCAAGGGAAGGATGCACTCCTGAAATGTTCTCACTTTCCTCCCTTGAGAGTGCTCAGGAACCATTCTATGGTTTCTCAGCTGTCTCTGTCATAAGAAATACAGACCCTGAGCCACAGTGGCTCAGACACTCATGAGGCAGATGGAGTTCCTGGCCCAAGATGTAATATCTTTTTAAGAACCTTACTGGTCATCTCTGCCTTTCCCTTTCCAGGATTCCCCTGGTTAACTTCTGCTGTTTGACACAGCAGGGACTACACCCCTTGAGACAGCAACATCCTGTATCAGAGTGCCTGAGTTCAAGTCCCGGCTCCACGTCCAGGTGTAGATTTCTGCTAACACACACTTGGAGGCAGCAGGCAGCGGCTCCAGTTGTTGGGTCCTTTCCTTTCCAGGGTTTCTGTCTCTTCTTCTATTTAACGGGTCCACCGGCCTATTGCCTGGTGGTCGTAGCATTGCACTTGTCATGGGCATACCAGTGGATGGAAGATATCTCTCTTTTTCTCTCTCTCTCCCTCTCCCTCTCTCTCTCTCTCTCTCTGTTTCTCTTTGTCTCTTTCTCAGCTTCTCAGAGACACTGAGTCAGTCCAGGGACATAAGTTTGGTTCTACAGTTGCCAACAATCCCCTTGGAGGGAGGCTTCCACCAGTTGTACACCACCATTGGGGCCTGGCTGGGATGTGGGCCACCTCCTACCCTTTGCTCAACAGTCAGGCAGCAAGGGGCCCAAGGCTCACTGCACTGTGCAGAAGAAAAACAGCCAAATTTCATAGTTCCCTGTGTGCTTCCTGTGATGATGTGCTGACAGAAAATGATCATTTTCTTTCTTTTTTTTTTGGACAGGCAGAGTGGACAGTGAGAGAGAGAGACAGAGAGAAAGGTCTTCCTTTTTGCCATTGGTTCACCCTCCAAAGGCTGCCACAGCTGGCACACTGCGACCGACACACCACACTGATCCGAAGGCAGGAGCCAAGTGCTTCTCCTGGTCTCCCATGGGGTGCAGGGCACAAGCACTTGGGCCATCCTCTACTGCACTCCCTGGCCACAGCAGAGAGCTGGCCTGGAAGAGGAGCAACCGGGACAGAATCCGGAGCCCCAACCGGGACTAGAACCCAGTGTGCCGGTGCTGCTAGGTGGAGGATTAGCCTATTGAGCCATGGTGCCGGCCCGATCATTTTCCTTTGTTTTGTAAACCAGTATGGAGAAAGACCCATGAAATTCAAGGGGACACATTCACATGTTGTTGAAAGTGAATATCCCCACTAAGATTCCAGAAGAGTCCCACACGCCTTTCTAATGACACTCCCTCACTGTCTTGAGAGATTCTCATGCTCATCTTGAGTATATGCATTCTTGCATTCACCTTAGAACTGCCTCCTTACTGTGCACTCCTAGCAGGTCTGCTTTAACCTGTACTCACATGGTATTGGACTATGTCTGGCTTTTTTCACTAGACTTGATGCATGTAGACACGTCCTGTGGCATAGAAGCAATCTTGACTACAGTTATCAGAAGACACCTAGAATTCCAGGTTCCAGTGTTATACTAATCCATGTATTTGTGAGGTTTAAAGATTATGGAGCAAAATATTCAACCCAAATAATTAACAAAACCAAACTTTAATATAAATGGGGTCCTGGAATGAACAGAGTCAGGTTTCATGGTATCCACCAGAGGAAGTTCTTAGCACCTGAGAGGGAGACAGAAAGAAATCAAATGAGAGTCTTGGTCAGGGCCTGCTGCCAGCTGAGTCTGGAGGGACTGCTCAGCAGTGACAGAGACTAGGACCAAACTCAGCTCGTCTGCAGTGCATGAGTTACTAAGAAAACCTAGAATCTACAAAACAATTCTAAGTCAGACATTCTAAAAACCATTTGACTTAATAGTCCAACAGAAAGAATACAGATTTTTTTCCCAAAACCCTCAAATGAGATATAAATACTTAAGAGTAAATAATTTGTTCAGCAACAAAAGTTTAGTAACAAAAGCTGGGGCCATGCCCCATCACGTGCTTCAGGCACAACAAGTGTCAGTGTCAGAAAGGGGGGCATAACCTGGGACTATGAGGCCAAGACACACCAGCCACACTACAACTGTGCTGCAAACTCCACCATGGGTTCTGCCTCTGTCCATCCAGATATAGCCCAGGGGACAGCCTGCCACATCACCACCTTTCCCTGGGGAGTAACAGCAAGCAGGCCTGGGTCATAGGAGTCCACTCGGGCACTTTGACAGGTCTGCAGCAAGATTCACATCTAAGGACTCACCCAAAAAGCCTCAGCACAGCAGATGGGCTGCTGGGTTTTTGCATGCCAGGCCTCAGCCCAGACCTGGGCTGGTGCTTCAGGCTCATCTGCCCAGTATCCACAGAGCAGGTAGGATCCATCATCCTTGAGGATAGGCACGATGACATCTGGCCCTTCCAGTGGGGGTGGATCTCCACACACCCTGAGGTGTGAATGCAGAGGGGAGGATGGAAGAGGTAGAAAAGATGAGGGCTTAGCACAAAGTCATTCAGTTCCAACCCTGTTCCACCAAACCTTCCTAGCAGTCTGAAAGGGTCTGTCAGCCAACAGGGAAGGAATCAATCTCTATGAGCCATCTGATCTAGATCCTCCCCTGGTGCAGACAAAGTGAGCCTTCACACAGATAGCTAAGACCCAGCAGGATGCAGAGAAGGATGGGACAGAAAGACAGAGGAGAGAAGGATGGCAGCCGAAGGGCAGAAGGCGCTGAGGATCAGAGGGTTCTGTGTCCCTCTCCCAGCCCCCTGGGACAGGAAAGGACAAGCTGACCAGAAGCCTGTTTAGTTTCAGGGAGAAGAATCCCCTTGGTCTGGAATGCTCCCAACCAATGAAAGCAGTTTAACAACCAAGATGCCCTTGGCATTGATCCCATTTCACTAAGCACTGTGGAGAGCATTGGTGCATTGGACATCCCTGTCTTTATTGTTGTACTGCAGGGATGTGGATGAAGCACAAGCAGAGGGGCTGAGGGAGCTGCCAAACACTTTTTATGGAGGTGACATAAAAGTGTGGCATGAGGAATGACCTTGGCATGACTGGACCCCAGGAAAACTTATGTAGGTTCCAAAGAGGATAAGTAGTTGGTGACCTGCACAGTGTTTGTGACCTGCCTCAGCACATGGGGCTTTCAAGACATGTTCCACAGTCTGTAGGATGAGATTTGAATGGGAAAAATGGCTCATGGGTCCCTTTCTCTCCTCCCGTGTCTGGCATGCCAGATGTCCAGAGTAAAACACCCTCAACCCATCTGTAGATTTACCTCTGATTAGCCTCGGCCTGGTCTGCACGTGCCACCTTCCCTTCCTCCTCTTGTGATGAGGGCTCTTCCACTGCAAAGATGTGCAAATGGGGCAGGACATGGTAAATGAGATGACGAACAAAAGCGATGGTATATTAAAGCTCAGGTACCACCCACAGTCATACAGGGATATCTATGTTGTCCAGCTGTGGCACTACCTTGCTTAGCAACAGCTCCCAAACAGGAGGACATGCCTGTTTAGACAGGTCCTCTGCCCAATAGTGGAAATCTCCCTCCCTGCTGGGCGTGTGTCCTCTCACTCATTTGGCATCCTGATCTTCCAAAAGTGATCAGCTGCTCTCAATCCCATGGCTATATGTTGTAAGTTCCAGGTGTGTGTTACTTTTTTAAAGATTTATTTATTTTAATTGAGAGTTAGGGTTACAGACAGTGAGAGGGAGAGACAGAGAGAAAGGTCTTCCTTACATTGGTTCACTCCCCAGATGGCCACAACAGCCAGAGCTGCGCCAATCTGAAGCCAGGAGCCAGGCACTTCTTCCTGTTCTCCCATGCGGGTGCAGGGGCCCAAGGACTTGGGCAATCTTATATTGCTATCCCAGGCCATAGCAGAGAGCTATACTGGAAGTGAAGCAGCCAGGACTAGAACAGGTGCCCATATGGGGTACTGGCACTGCAGGCAGAGGATTAACCTACTGCACCATGGCGCTGACACCCAGATGTGTTTTAAGTGACCAACCACACAATGGGGGCTCATCCAATCCTAAGCCATGGTGAGGGACTCCCAGACTCCTCCACCATGCCAAAATATGAACATGTGTACCCTCAGGGCTCCACACACACAGGAGCCTTTTGGTGCCATGCTGACACTGTGGTTCTTAGTAGATCCTGAGAGGCACGAGCCAGCACAGGCAACCACAGGATGGAATCCTCAGTACATTCCCTAGGATTCCAGATGATGAGTGGAGTCAGAGCACCAGGCCAGGGTTATAGGAGTGCACTCAGGAGGTTTATCAGGTCTGCAGCTAGAGTCACATCAAAGGACTCACCGAGAATGGCCTCAGCACAGCAGATGGGCTGCTGGGCTGTAGGGTGCAGGGCCCCAGCCCAGGCCTGGACTGGGGCTTCAGGCTCATCTGCCCAATATGCACAGAGCAGGTAGGATCCGTCATCCTTGAGGATAGGCACGATGACATCTGGCCCTTCCAGTGGGGGTGGATCTTCACCCACCCTGAGGTGTGAATGCAGAGGAGGGGACAGGAGGAGAGGAAAAGATGAGGGCTTAACACAAATTCTTTCAGTTCCAACCCAGTCGCACCAAACCTTCCTAGCATTTTGAAAGCATCTTTCACCCAATAGGGACAGGATCACCCTCTAAAAGCCTCTGATCTAGATCCTCCCTGCTTCAGACACAGTGACCCTTCACACAGATAGGGCAGACCCAGCAGGATGTAGAGAAACTGGACAGCAAGACAGGAGACAAGGAGGCTGTCAGTAGAAGGCCAGAAGTCTCACTGTGGAGCACAGGGCTCGCCGCCCCTCTCCAACACTCACCCCCCTTCCCCAGGGGGGACAGAAAAGGACAAGATTGCCAGAAGCCAGTTGTCTAGTTTCAGTGAAAGAGTCCCCTTTGGTGGAATTCTCACACCCTCCTAAAGCCCGTTAACACCACAGAGCACCTCAGGATGGTCCCCATTCCCTCAGCACTAAGGAGTGCATGGGTGCAGTGGACATTCCCTGTACCTACCATTGTACTGCGGGGTGGGGGGGCTGATGAGAGACAACCAGTAGGCTGAGCGAGTGGTCATTCTCTCAATGGGCCACAGAGAGTCAGTGGCATTAGGAATGACCTGGCCTGGTGACTTTCCCAGGGAAACTTCTGCAGCTGTCCAATGGAGGCTGGACATGGGGCTGACATGGAAAGTGTTTGGGGCCCTCCTTAGACAGAGTCTACTTGGGAGGAACTTTGAATGCTATAAATGGACTCCAGTTGCACATTATCTCCCACCATGTCACAAATCTCCAGATATTCACACTACAAAAAAGAAAGAAAGAAAGAAAGAAACACCCCATCTGCAGATTTACCTGGGTGTGGCCTCAGTCTGCTCTGCAAATGCCACCTCTATTTTCTCCTTCTGGCTGGAGGCATCTTCCACTGCAAGGAGGGCAAATGGGGCAGGACATGGTCAATGAGATGGCATGCAAACACATTCTCATAGTAAAGCACAGGTATCACAAATGCCCCACCAGCTTCTGAGGACACCTATGCTGCTCACTTAGTGAACAGGTGTTAGCAACAGCCTCACTCCCAGGGAACATGCCTGCAATGGCAAGTCCTCTGCCTACCAATGGAGAGCTCCCTGCCTGTCTGGAGTGTGATAGCCACAGATCAGGCATCCTGATCTTCCATGAGGGGCCAGCCGCTTTCACCACATGGCTCCTTGGTCTATGTCTGATGTGTCACAACAGGGGGCTCATCCCCACAGCAGTCATTGGTGGGGGACTCCTGGGCACGTACACCCTGCCACAGTATGAACATATGAAACCCACAGAGCTTCACACACACAGGAGCCTTTTGGTGTCATTCACACAGTGGCCCTTAGTGGATCCTGAGAGGCATGAGGCCAGCACTGGCAACCTCAGCATGGAACCCTCAGGACATGGCTCAGGGTTCTAGATGAAGAGTGACATCAACACAATTGGGATGAGAGAGACAGCATGCCCAGTTCATCGGGATCTGAGAAAGATATCAGGCTGAGAAGGTAACCCGAAGTAGAGCTGTGGTGGCAGGCATGCAGTGTAATGGCATCTAGGGCAAAGGCCTCAAGGAAGCCTGTCACTGGCCAAAGGTGCCCCACTCTTCCATGTGTAGGCTAGAAGAAATCCTTGACACATGCAGGAGCACAGGCTGGGGCCCTGCCATTCACACTTGCCTCTTATGCAAGCAACATGGGTCGCTTGCTTGTCAGAAAACGGAGCATAACCTGGGACTCTGAGGTCATGAAATACCTGCCTACACTACATCCCTGCTGCAAACTCCACCCAGGGCTCTGCTTAGTCCATCCAGAAGTAGCGCAGAGTTCCTGCCACATCACACCTTTCCCCAGGGGTATAGAGCAAGCAGGCCTCTGTCACTAGGGTGCACTCAGGTGGTTTGGCAGGTCTAGAGCAAGATTCCCACCAAAAGACTCACCCACAATGGCCTCCGCACAGCAGATGGGCTGCTGGGCTGTAGGGTGCAGGGCCCCAGCCCAGGCCTGGACTGGGGCTTCATGCTCATCTGCCCAATATGCACAGAGCATGTAGGACCTGTCATCCTTGAGGATAGGCACGATGACATCTGGCCCTTCCAGTGGTGGTGGATCTCCACACACCCTGAGGGGTGAAAGCAGAGGGGAGGATGAGAGGATTGGGAAAGATGAGGGCTTAAACCAAAATCATTGAGTTCCAACCCAGTTCCACCAAACCTTCCTAGCAGTCCTTAAGGTCTGTCACACAATGGGGACAGGACCATCCACTAACAGCCATCAGAATGGATCCTCCCTTGATTCAAAGTGAGTCTCACAGGGACAGGGCAGACCCAGCAGGATGCAGAGAAGGTGAGACAGGAAAATAGGAGAGGAGTCTGTCAGCCCAAGGCCAGAGGGCCCTCTTACAGCATCCTGGGACAGAGAAGAACAAGCTGGCCAGAAGCCAGTTGTCTAGTTCCAGGGAAAGAATCCCCTTGGGGTGCAATGTTCCCACCCAGCTAAAGCTCTTCAGTACTCTAGACAGCCTCGGGATGGGTCCCATTTCCATCAGCACTGTGGTGTCATCATGCCCTGCACACTCCCTGTCTCACCATTGCACCACAGGGATGCTGATGAAGGACAAGCAGAGGGACCAAGGGAGAGGCCCTCACTTTTTAGAGAGGCCACACAGAAGTAGTGGCATTAGGAGTGACCTAGACAGGTGACGGATTTCCAGGGAAATTTATACAGGGACCCATTGAGGGTAAATGGGCAGTGAGCAGGACAGTGTTACAGTGCAACTCAGCACATGAAGCTTTCAGGATGTGCATCCAGTCATTGTGGGAGTAAAACTGAATGATATAAATCTCACAGAGGGCACATTCTCTCACCTCACGTCTGATATCTCCCCATGTCCATACTAAAACACCCTGAACACATCTGTCGATTTACCTGGAGGTAGCCTCAGCCCAATCAGCAGTTGCCAACATGACTTTCTCTTTTTGGTAGGTGGCATCTTTCACTGCAAAGAAATGCAAATGAGGCAGGACATGTGAAATGAGATGCCATGCAAATGCGATGGCCTAGTAAAGCACAGGTACCACACCATATTCTAGCATCTTCATAAGAAAGGTGTGGTCACATGACCTTGGTCAGCCACTGCCTCACTCCCAGGAGGGCAGGCCTGCAATGGCAAGTCCTCTGCCTGACAATGCAGCCCTCCCTTTCTTGGGAGTGTTTCATCACACACAACAGGCATCATGATCTTCCACAAGTGGTCAGCTGTTTTCAATCATATGGGCCCTTGGCCTATGAATTAGGTATGTTCTAAGAGACCAACCACACAATGAGAAGCTCATCCCATCCTACAGCCATGGTGGGAACTCCCAGGCTCACACACTCTGCTGCAATATGAATATGTGAAACCCTCAGAGCTTCACACTACTAAGACTTTTGGTGCTATGCAGACACTGTGTCCCTTAGTGAACCCCGAGAGGCAATAGGCCAGCACTGGCTACCACAGGATGGAGCCCTCAGGACATGGCCCAGGGTTCCAGATGAGGTATGACATCACCACAGTAGGAATAAGAGAGACAGTATGGCCCTGTTCAAAGGGATGTGATTAAGATCTCAGTTCAGCAAGGTGACCAGAAGTATAGCTGGCCTAGTGGGCAGACATTGTCTTTGCAAATTGCTGGGGCAGAGGTCTCACAGAGAAGCCTGCCACTGGCAAAAGGCATCCCACTCTTCCAAGAGGAGCCTTAGAAAAATACCTTGTCGCATGCATGAGCACAGGCTCATGGTGGATCGATGCCACAACATCTGCCTTGGGCATAGTGACACAGCTAGCTTTGGTGCCAGAAAGTGGAGAATAACCTGGGCTCTGAGGTTAAGAAACACCTGCCTACACTAAACAGTTGCTGCAAACTCCACACAAGGTTCTGCCTCAGTCCACCTCAATGAAGTCTAGTGGATAGCCTAAGATGTCAGACCTTTTCCAGAGTGTTGCAGAAAGCAGGCCAAGGGTTTATGGGTGTACTCCTGTGGTTTGGCTGCCCTGCACCAAGTTTCACATCAAAGAACTCACCCACAGTGGCCTCAGCACAGCAGATGGGCTGCTGGGTTGTAGGGTGCCAGGCCCCAGCCCAGGCCTGGACTGGTGCTTCAGGATCATCCATCCAAACTGCACAGAGCATGTAGGACCCATCATCCTTGAGAATAGGCACAATGACATCTGGCCCTTCCAGTGGGGGTGGATCTTCACACACCCCGAGGTGTGATGCAGAGCAGAGGCTGGGAGGGGTGGAAAAGATGAGGGCTTAACACAAGGTCATTCAGTTCCACCAACCCAGTCCCACCAATCCCTCCTAGCAGTCTGAAAGGGTTGTCACCCAAGAGAGACAGGATTATCCTCTAAGATCGATCTGATCTAAATCATCCTCTCATTCAGACAACATGAGCCTTCACATGGACAGGGCAGACACATTAGAATGAAGAGGGGCTGGGACAGGAAGATAGGAGGAGAGGAAGCTGTCAGTAGAAGGCTTGAAGAAGGAGCACAGGGTTCTGGTGCCCACTCTCACAGCCCCCTGAGGACAATGAAGGACAAGCCGGCCAGAAGCAAGTTGTCTAGTTCAGGGAAAAGATTCTCATTAATGTGAAATGCTCCAACCCAGGGAAAGTACTTCAACAGCCCAGACAACCCCAGGATGGGTCCCATTTCTGTCAGAACTGTGCAGTGCATCCCTGTCTTTATCATCGTATTGCAGGGTTGCTAATGAAGGAAAAGCAGAGGGGCTGAGGGAGTTGCCCTCAGTTTTTAGAGAGGCCACACAGAAGCAGTGGCACGAGGAATGACCTCAACAGGAGACTGGGCCCAGGAATATTTGTGCAGGTGTCCAAAGGAGGATAAGTGATGGCATCTGGCAGGATTTGGGGTCCACCTCAGCACATGGAGCCTTCAAGAGGTGCTCCAGAGCATTTGTAGGAAGAGATTTGAGTGGGGCAATTTCTCTTCTCCCACGTCTTCCATCTCTAGGGGTCCCTAGTAAAGCCCCCTCAACCCATCTCTAGGTTACCTCTGATTAGCCTCGGCTGGTCTGCAGGTGCCACCACACCTTCCTCCTCTTGAAATGAGGGCTCTTCCACTGCAAAAGATGTGCAAATGGGGCAGGACACTGGCAAATGAGATGATAAGCAAATGTGAGGGCATGCTAAAGCACAGGTACCGCCTACTGTCACACCAGATTCCAAGGATATCTATGCTGTCTGGTTGTGGTACTATCTTGGTTAGCGACAGAACCAAACCATAAGGACATGCATGTTTTGACAAGTCCTCTGCCCAACAATGGAAATCTCCCTCCCTGTCTGAGAGTGTGTCAACTCACTCATCGGGCATCCTGATCTCCCACAGGGGTCAGCCACATTCAATCCCCTGGCTCTCTTAGGTGTCTCAGTGTTCAACTGCACAATTAGAGGCTCATCTGATCCTGCAGGCAATGTGGGGACTCCCTGGTTACTATCCCCTGCCATAAAATGAACATGGGAAACCCATAGAGCTTCCCACACACAGGCGCCTTTGGTGTCATACAGACACTGTGGTCCTAGTGGTCCCGAGATGCACGGGGCCAGCATTGACAACCTCAGGATGGAACCCCCAGTACATGGTTAAGTGTTCCAGAGGGGAAGTGCAGTCTCCACCATGGGAACAAGAGAATGAACAGCCCACTTCAAGAGCATCTGGTTAAGATCTTGGGCTGAGAAGGTAGCCAGGAGTACAGATTTCCTGGGAGAAATGCAGGGTCATGGCACAGGGCTGGGGCAAGAAACACCTACCTAGACTACATCCATGCTGCAAACTCCACCCAGGGTTCTGCCTTAGTCCATCCAGATGTAGCCCTGGGGAAAGCCTACCACATCACCACCTTTCCCCAGGGGCTTAGAGCAAGCAACTAGGGTCATTGGGATGCTCACTAGGTTTATCATAACCTGCAACAAGAATCATATCAATGGACTCACCCAAAGTGTCCTCAGCACTGCAGATGGGCTGCTGGGTTGTAAAGTGCCAGGCCCCAGCCCAGGCCTGGACTGGTGCTTCAGGCTCATCAGCCCAATATCCACAGAGCAGGTAGGATCCATCTTCCTTGAGGATAGGCACGATGGCATCTGGCCCTTCCAGTGGGGGTGGATCTCCACACACCCTGAGGTGTGAATGCAGAGGGCAGGACAAGAGGGAGGAAAAGATGAGGGCTTAACACAAAGTCACTCAGTTGCAGCCCAGCACTGCTAACCCTTCCTAGCTCTCAGAAAGAGTCTTTCACCAATAGGGACAGGAGCATTCTCTAAGAGCCATCTGATCTAGATCCTCCCCTTGTTCAGACAAAGAGACCCTTCACAGGATTGGGCAGACACAGCAGGATGCAGAGAGATGGGACAGGAAGATCAGAAGGAGAGGTCGCTGTCAATAGAAGGCCAGAAAGCATTCTAGGAGCAGAGGGCTCTGTGTCCCTCTCCCAGACCCCTGGGGCCAGCCTCACCACATGGAACGTTGAAGAGGTACTCGCAGAATATTTCATGGGAGGAGCTTTGAATGGTAAATATTGCTTATGGGGCACATTCTCTCCTCCCCATGTCCTGCCATCTCCAGGAGTCCATAATAATAACCCCCACCCCATCTGCCGACTTACCTGGGTATAGCCTCGGCCTGCTCTGCAGATGCTGGATCCCCTTCCTCCTTTTTGCAGGAGGACTCTTCCTCTGCAGAGAGGTGCAAATTGGGAGCAGGATGTGGTCAATGGATGACATGTACATGATATGGCAATAAAAGTAGAGGGCACCACCCACTGTCACAAGCTTCTGAAGACCCTATGCTGTCAGTTGTGGAACTGCCTGTGTTAGCCACAGCCTCACTCACAGGAGGACAAGCCTGGAATGGCAAGTCCTCTGTCTAATAATGTAGCCCTCCCTCCCTACCTGGGAAGTTTTCATAACACAAAACAGGCATCCTGATCTTCCACAAGTGGTCAGCTATTGTCAACCATATGTGTCCTTGGCCTGTGAGTCAGATATGTTCTAAGAGACCATACACACAATGGGAGGACCATCCCATGCAACATCCAAGTGGGAGATTCCAGGCACACACACTCTGCTGCAATGTGAACATGTGAATCCACAGGGGCTCACAGCACTGAAGTCTTTCGGTGCCAGGCAGACACTGTGCCCCTTAGAGCATCCAGATAGACACGAGCCCAGCACTGACTACTTCAGGATGGAACCCTCAATACATGGCTGAGGATTCCTGATCTGGAATGACATCACCACAGTGGGAATGTGAAAGAGTGTGACCCTACTCAGCAGGATCTGGAGATCTCAGGCTGAGAAAGTAGCCAGAATAGCTGTCCTGGCAGGCATGCAGTGTCTTGGTAACCAAATGGGGCAGAGGTTTCACAAGGAAGCCTGCAACTGATAAAAGGCATCCCACTCTTCAAGTGGAGGCCTGGAAGAAAACCCTGTCACATGAATGAGCACAGGCTCCAAAGCCGGGCCATGCCATCACACCCTGCTTTGGGCACAGTGACATGGTCAGGATTCATTGCTGAGCATGGGGTATAACATGGGGATCTCAGGTTAAATAACACATGCCTAAATTAGTGCAGCAAACTCTACCCCAGGTTCTGTCTCTGTCAATCTAGATCTGCCCATGGTTCAGCCTACCCCATCACAATCTTTCCCAGCGTGTTCAAGAAAGCAGGACAGGGTCACCAGGTGCACTCAGGAGGTTATCAGGTCTGCAGCTAGAGTCACATCAAAGGACTCACCCGCAATGGCTTCAGCACAGCAAATGGGCTTCTGGGTTCAATGTGCCAGAGCTCAGCACAGGCCTGGACTGGTGCTTCAGGACTCATCAGCCCAAAATCCACAGAGCAGGTAGGATCGCGTCACCCTTGAGATAGGCACGATGACATCTGGCCTTTCCAGTGGGGGTGGATCTTCACCACCCTGAGGTGTGAATGCAGAGGACAGACAAGAGGGGAGGAAAAGAGGATGTTAACACAAGTCATTCAGTTGCAATCCAGTCCCACCAATCCTTCCTGTCCAAAAGTGTCTGTCACCCAACAGAGACAAGATCATCCCTTAAGAGCCATCTGATCTGGAGCCTCCCTTGGTCCATCACATGGACAGTGCAGACCCAACAGAACACAGGGAGGATGGGACAGGAAGATAGAAGGAGAGGAGGCTGTAGGCAATTGTCAGAAGGCATGCTGAAGAGCAGAGGGCCCTGGGGCACCTCTTGTCAACCCCTGGAGACAGAAAAGGACAAGGGATGCTGATGAGGGACAAGCAGTGGGGCTGAGGGTGGCCCTTCACTTTTTAGGAAAAGCACACAGAAGCAGTGGTATTAGGAATGATCTAGATAGGTGACTGGTTTCCAGGGAAACTTATGCAGGTGTCCAGGGAAGATAACTGGGCAGTGACCTGGGCAGCAGCACAGTGTAACTCAGCACATGGGGATTTCAAGAGGTGTGCCAGGTCTTCCTGGGGAGGAGCAATGAATGTTTTAAAAATCTCACAGGGCACTTTCTCTCACCCCATTTCTGCCATCACCAGATAGCCATACCATACTAAAAACCCTGGAGCCAGCTGTCAACTTACCTGGACATAGCCTCAGCCTGATCTGAGGATGCCCCTTGACTTTCTCCTTTTTGTTTGAGGAGTCTTCCACTGCAAGGAGTGCAAATGGGGCAGGGCATGGTAAATGAGATGACATGCAAATGCAACGGGCTAGTAAGGCACAGGTATCACAACTGTCCCACCATATTCGGAGTAAATCTGTACTGTCTGGTTGTGGCACAGCCTTGGATAGTGACAGCCTAATTCAGGAGGACATGCCAGTAATGCTCAAGTCCTCTGACTAACAATGCTGCTCTACCTCCTTTTGGGGGAGTGTTTCACAACACACAACAGGAACCTTAACCTTCCCAATTGGTCAGCCATTTTCAACATTTTGTGTCCTTGGCCTGTGAGTCAGATATGTTTTAAGAGACCAAACACATGGGAGGACTGTCCCATGCAACAGCCAATGTGGGAGACTCCCAGGCTCACACACTCTGCTGCAATATGAACATGGGAAACCCAAGGAGCTTCACACCACTGAAGTCTTTTGGTGCCATGCAGACACCGTGCCCCTTAGTGAATCCTGAGAGGCTCGAGGCCAGCATGGGTAATTTCAGATAGAACCCTTAGTACATGGTCCTGGGCTTCAGATAAGGGGTGATGTACACAAAGGAAATAAGAGAGACAGTGTGGTCCTGTTTAGGGGGTGTGGTTAAGAACTCAGGCTGAGAAGGTAAGCCAAGACTACAGCTGTCCTGGCAGGCATGCAGTATCTTAGCCATGGTTGGGCAGAGGTCTCACAGGGAAGCCTACAACTGGCCAAAGACATCCCACTCTACCAAGTAAGGCCTAGGAAAAAACCCATCCCATGCATGAGCATAGTATATATCACTGGATCCATGCCACACACCTGCCTTGGGTGCTGACATGACCGCTTTGGTGCCAGAAAATGGAGCATAACCTGGGCTCTGAGGTTAAGAACCTGCCTGTAAAACTTTGCTGCAAATTCCACCAAGATTCTACTTCAGACCATCTAGATTGAGCTAAGGGACATCTTACCAAATCAGGACATTTTCTCTGGGGGTTAGAACAAGCAGGCCAGTGTCACTGAGGTACAATCAGGTTTGGCAGGTCTGAAGCAAGATCAAATCAAAGGACTCACCCCAATGGCCTCAGCACAGCAGAGGGGTTGCTGGGTTGTAAAGTGCCAGGCCCTAGCCCAGGCCTGGTCTGGTGCTTCAGGTTCATCTGCCCAATATGCACAGAGCATAGGACCCGTCATCCTTGAGGACAGGCACGATGGCATCTGGCCCTTCCAGTGGGGGTGGATCTTCACCCACCCTGAGGTGTGAATGCAGAGGGGAGGATGGAAGAGGTAGAAAACATGAAGGGTTAACACAAGGTCATTCAGTCCCAACCCATTTCCACCAAACCATCCTAGCAATCTGAGAGATCTGTCACCCAATAGGGACAGGACCGACCACTAACAGCCATGTGATCTAGATCCTCCCCTGATCCAAAGTGAGCCTTCATTGGATAGGGAAGACCCAGCAGAAGGCAGAGATGGGACAGGAAGACAGAAGGAGAGGAGGCTGGCAGCCAAAGGCCAGAAGACACACTGAGAGCAGAGGGCTCTGGTGCCCACTCTCAAAACCCCCTGGGGACAGAGAAGGACAAGCTGGCAGAAGCCAGTTGTCTAGTTGCGGGAACAGATCCCTTGTCGGAATGTTGCCACTCGCTAAAGCACCTGAGCTCCCCGGACTACCTCAGGATGTGTCCTAATTACATCAGCACTGTAGCATGCATCCGGGCATTGGAATCCCCTG